CAGAAAATTTAGCACCAAAAAATTTCCGAACTGAGGACATGCATCAATAAAAAATAAAACAAACAAGTATGGTAAATTTTGTGATACCTTTTAGATTAAATTTTTTTATTAGCTCTCAGAAAAGGCAAGGTGAAACTGATACTCTTTATTGGGGGAGTTGAACCATTTGCTCCCGTCTGGTCTGCATGCGACATTTATATTTCTGGTATACACTGCATTCATGATGTAGCATAATTTAATCTGGATCCCAGGTGGGGTAGGTTAAGTTCAAGAATGAAACATGACTGAGAGCAATATGGAATCAATATGTTCACCTTAAAGTATTACATCCCTTTAAAAAGTGTTTCACCTTTTCGGGGGTCTTGCAATTGCATGCTTGAAATGTGAACATTAGAATTAGCCACGTGTTGGTAAATATTACATGCACAAATTCACCTTCAAGCGACAAATTATAAAAACGTTGATAGTTAAAAAGAAATTTTAATCAGTGTGCATGCACACTTCAGTATATTTATGAATAACTATGCTTAAATGAATTGTTTCTTGAACCCCATATCAAGCATTTAAAAATTCGCAGAGTAATAACTATACGGCAGATCATACATTCAATATTGATTTAGCATGTGTTCAAAAGAACGATTGGATGTACAAATTAGGCCAGTAAAAATGAAAATATAGATATGACACTTAAATAGCTTCTTAATCATAGATATCCGTTTTGTAAACGTAGTCCGCCATATTTAAACAGAATGCCACTACATCAAAAGAATAAAAAAAATCTTTAGAAAAATGGCACTCAAGAGCATTTAACACAAAAGGGTACCACCTTCATGTTAAAAAAGTAAAATTGTCCTTCTTTTTTTGATACCTCTAGTTTTTCCACTGTGACATATTTATAATGTCCTACTACATCGGAGTTTTTTCGCCATTGTTGCATTTATTTTCATCATTTTATATTTCCTTTAACGATAATGTCACATAATTTATAATCGTATTTCCTGCTTTAAAGACGTGAAATCAATCGTCAGTTTTCATTATTTATGTAGTGATATTCTACTATCAACTGCATATGGTGTTTATGTCTCCCAACTTATTTGATACGCAAGAGCATGCTGTCTGAGTACCATTAATCGTGACAGGCTATTGACGAGTAAGCTGATGTAAAAGAAATTTCAAAAGCATCGTTGAAAGTCAGCATTTCGAAAACTCTGTAGCCGTCATCAAGACCTTGTTTGTAAATAAAACGTATAAATGGTTCTAACGTTGGGTCAATTAAATATTAATGAAATATGTGGAAATAACGAACAGTATTCGAGCTCAAAAGTCCATTAAACATTACAAAATAGGAGCAGAGCAAACACGGACCTCTAAGACATCAGAGGTGGAATCAGGTGCCATGGAGGAGTGAGCATCCCCTGCCGACCGGTCACACCCGCCGTGTGCTCCTTGTCATGATCGGGAAATAACGGAAAAATCCATCGACAATTCAGTGTGTAAATAAATAACTAACAATTAGTATTAAAAAAAGTTAGTCAGCATTTGACTTAATGATATATTGTATTTGCTGACTAGGCCATTGTGTCGACCATAGAACTTTCGAAATGATGACTTTCAGTTGTAAGGCCATTGTTTTTATACTAAATTTGACTACGGAATATTCCGTCTACCTGATTAATACAAGTTCACGGCGAGTGTGACTGGTCGACGGGGGATGCTTACTCCTCCCAGGCACCTGATCCCACCTCTCGAATTTTTTTGTCTTATGCCCTGCTCACAAATTTGTATTATATATTATAATATATTTTTGAGATAGTTCATTTTTCGTTTTTTTCACCTTTTCATGTTAAAATACATGGTTTGGGTTCTCTATAAAATGCAATGCATATAACTTTTCTACGTAAAATGAATTATCATCTTCAGCAACTAACAACATGGTAAATTCAATAATGGAAAGAGAAAACTTCACATTTATTGAAAATAAAGGTGAACCAAATGTCTTGATTTTAAACAATAAATGTGAACGCTCTGTTCACATTTATTGTTTAAAATTAAGCCATTTCGTTAACTTAGTATTTTGAAATCTTATGGAAAAAATTATTTCCCTTTCTCGTTCATGTCATATATCTTAAGTCTTTTCATGGGAGTGTATCGTATTTTTATCATGGGAGTGTATCGTATTTTTATCATTGCTCCTTGATTAGTGTTTTATCTTAAGTGCTTGGATAAGATCTGTAAGCTGAATAAACCCTTCTTAACATATGTTCTTACATATCAATGGTACTCTTAAAGTTTAAAGTCGAGGACTGTATTATTTATCTACATTATTCAAATAAACATATTCTTCTTAAAACAAACGAACAGGAGAGGATTCTAATAACAATGTAACCTAAATCTTAACATAAAAAATAAAATAGAAATTATTACAGGAAGCCCAACGTCAGCTGTTTATATAAATATTAAACTGGGTTTTATAACACTGGGTTTATAACATGTTTTGATTCTTGTAAATAAAATCAGTCACCATGAAAATTGTTCCCATTCCAAATATTTTCGTTAAATTTAATGAGAAAGTAGAGCAGGAATTTTTCGGTCAAATAGCAAGTGATTACACTGAAAACTGTCTAGTACCGAAAATGAAGTCATTAGATTTTACAATGTTCCTTTCCTATCCATTTAAATATCATCACATTGTCATTATGAAAAGAAAATTAAATCAAATGATTCTTTTTTGAGTAGAGATTTTTACAATAATTTTCCACTGAGTCGTTACATTTAATGTTAAAATATGGAACAGCTATATTTTTCGGTAAAAAGAAATGCAATTAGTTTGAAATTGATGTCAAATTATTGATATAAGATTATACGATTTTCATAAAGTAAAACTTCAAAATTGAACACTATTATCTCCTTGAATGGAGATTTAGTTCAAAGTTTAAAAACAGCCTATTGTTCAATAATCGCTTTAGAATGGATCAAAGTTTCATTTAAACTGGATAAAGACAACCAATACAGAGTAACTGGAGGGGATATCAACTTTTACGGTGAAAATAAGGTCAACGGCTAAATTTGAATTTATAAAGGAAAAACTTAAATATGATTACTGCTGCAGTGTGTGGACATTTTAAACTATAAATATACTCCAGTCTTAATATGAAATCGGAAAATCCAATAATAGTCTCTATTTGTATTGCCTGATTAGAGAGAACGCACTGAATATATTATATCTAATAAGTATATTCAACAAGAGTTAACGGTGACTTGACCTATAATTGTGTGAATTTGACCTAGAATGTTTTGCCCATGGACATGTTTATTCTATAAAAGTCAAAACTAAAGAGATAAAACTTAGCATGGGTAATTCAAAGTTATTTCAGCAAAGATCAATGTTATTTTTTAAAATCTCCAGTAAATCTAATCAAATCACTTGGAACTCATCAACTCAGCTTATGATGGAATAACTTATCATTTCAGTAATCATTTATAATATTGACTGTCATGACAGCAATGCATGTCTGTACACATTTTTGCATGAAGAAAGGCATTGTCAACACTAAATACTTAAAAACCAAATCATGAATTGGATGGACAGTTAAATGATATGATTTCTTTCTTCCTTTTTTAACGATGATTTTTGTGAAGTTATGTCCCATACAATTTCTTAAATAAGTATTTGCTTATTCATTTTATTGACCAATCTCATCACAATATTTTCCTATTGATTCGAAAAAAGATTCTTGCAATTTCTTTTTCTCGGATACATGTACCAGACTTAAGGACATACACAACGTAGTTTGAACTTTGTTGTATTTTTCCCTGGAGTTGAAGAGTTCCAATACTTAAAGGAACTGTGTCCTACATTTTAATGTCAATATATGCTATTGTACACTTCTTCTAAAACAAGTTTCGATAAGCAAAACATTTAGAATATATGTTTAGTAATTTTTGTATATTTTTCTTTGAATTATACAAGAATTTTCATCAATTGATATCTTTTCAAAACCCCTGGTAAGGCATGCTGATTTTTTGCCTACGAACATCTGATGGTACTATAATCTTAAATTAAGAGTAGCTCGAAAAATTATCAGTAGGTAAGGTACGTTGCGTATGTCCTTAAATATCAGATTAAAGCTATGTATAACTTTTTGATTGTAACGAACTCTGTATCTGAATCATTAAGAATTTTAACCATTTCGAATTATTATTGAATGATTTTTAGAATTTTAAAAGGACATCACATTGATGTAGTATCGAAAGAAAAATAATAGTAACTAAACATTATCATGAAGAAGTTTTAAAAGTAAAAATGCTTAGTCTTTTTTTAATACCGGTATTTAATCAAATATCCCAAAATGTTTCCAGCAACTGGTGATTACAAAAGGTATCAATACGTGTGGTAATTAACCAAATTTAAAAAAAAAAATCAAAATTCTAAATTATTCATACCTTTCATATAGAGGTTCTTTTACTTAACTAAATTTTATTCAATCAATATTTTGGCCCCCAGTTTGTTTACAACATTCGTTTTGAACATCAGGCTGAGAAAAGAATTATGCAAAAAAAAAAAAAAGAAAAAAAGAAAAAAATTGCAAATTTCCTGGTTTTTCTTTTGTCGAGCAATCTAATTGTGACCTTGAACTGAGGTTGATTAAGCATTAAAATGGGTTTAAAACATTATCTCTGAAGGCTACACCTTATGAAAATTTGCAAACACGATAAAGTTGAAATACTTTGATTGCCCATGATAAATACAATGTAATTGCAGAATGCATATTTTTATTCAATAAATTACTCGTTCTTAATTTTTCTAATACACATAATCTCAATAACTTCCAATGTATGCATATGTAATTTATCCGTTTCTAAATACATGTAATCTTTTTTTAATCGTTCCCTGTGTTGCAAAGCAACACTGTACATTGCTAAACGTGTAATGTGCACGAAATAAAGAACATAGCAACACACCAGATTTTGTCACCCTAAGATAATAAAACAATACTCACATTGTTTCCTGTGCCATCTGTATGAGGTCTTGTATTTTCATTGCTTGTTGTGGTTTTGTCTGGCTTCTACAAAAACAACCATCTTTGAAGTTAAGGACATAGGTTATTTACATTTACACAAGCACCTTGTTCGTGCATCAGTATAAAAAACAATTTCCTCAAGACCATTCATTTGTTTATAAAACTTATTTTCATATTTGGTAAATTAAAGATAAAAGGCAACCTAACCCCTCACAAGAAATGTTTTATACGTTTGATCTAAAAATCGACCTCTTATTTAATGCCTTGGGAAATCGAAAACCATTATGGTCTGGATTAAACTTCTTTTTTTTTAAAGAGGGTTACGGTAGGAAGACATTGATTTAAAGCGGGCTCCCACAGACTTCTAGTGAGGTCCTGACATCTCTTGAATGACCGGTAAATGCATGAAGTAGGTGTCATTTACAGAGGTCCCCTTAATATCAGAACTAATCCTACATGTCCAACTGTGTTGTATTTATTTCTAAAGAAAGTTACAATGCAGTACATAATTTGTCAAACGAAATAGTTTCATCTTTCACACAGTTCAAGATAATATGAACAAGAATGTACTTAGGAAAAAGTGACAGGTCTATTAATTACTATCGTCTGTCAATTTAATTCTACAAAGAAGTTCAGTACAGTAATATTAATAGTAATGTATTCTTGTATAATAATTATAACATTATCCTCATATTACTGTAATGCTATGTTCTAATTGGAGTCATTTTTTGCTGGTATGGTTTAATATTTCGCAGACAGTGGAAAAAGGGGAATATACTGCGTTTTCTGATGACCAGACACATAATCTGGCATTAGGTTGCCTGTCCTGTTAGAAGGGCACTCGAGATAGTGTTGTCTACTTGTTTGCTTTCCTATAAAGATCTCCAATCTAAGCGCCATAGGTAATGATACTGTAAGTGCTTTTAAGTATTAAATCCGTAGTCTTGAGATCAACTGGGTGACGGACTTGATTCAAGTGATAATCAGTTACGCAATTAACCTTAAGATTATCAGAACGAACCCCTTATACTCGAATTTTATGAAGAACCAGTGACTTAAATGTTGCAAACTTCCTTAAGAACCATAACTCCTGCCCGGGGCATATATATTCACCCCTTTTGCTCCTAACTGCAAAACAGTGGGCGACCATATAAAAATAAAATCTCTATAGGGGTATTAGATAGTGAATTTTCCTTTGTATATGATTGTCATCCGATATTATTCAATTAGCAGTATCTATAAAACCTTATCGACGTTTAGATGTTGACAGAGAATAAAAGACAATTGGAAAGAGAGTCAAAGAGAGGTTAATGGTAAAGTAGTACATTTGTGTCGGTCATTCAATAGATTTACTGTATGTCACGGGATGCACTAAGTATGGCGGGTCTCTTATCGCAGAATCTATCAGTTTAAAACATCCCCCGCCGCGTTCACTAAACTTAACTGAGAACAATATGTAGAATGTTCTCTATTGACCTAAACTGGTGTTTTTACGAGGTTATTATAGGCCTTCTTCGCTTTTTTCTTCTTTCATATACGTCATCTGAATAATTGTCATTGAACCGAGTCATTGTACTGAGGTTTTTGAATCTTCTTTTCCTATTATATTAATGATTTACGATAAGAACATTCGAGTTTTGCTTAAAGTGCTGGACCAATTGATTGTTGCAAAGTTAACTAAAGGTGTCATAAAGGTGTCATGACAAATCACATATGCTAAAGCTTCTTTTTCATCTAAAGTATCTCTAAAACGTTAATGGGATGAACGTATTTGATAGTTGGCATCATTTCCCCCCCTAATTTCCTGCAGAGGCTCGCAATGTTTAATTTATGCACTTATTAATCATGTTGATAACCATCAAAAAAACGGTATCATCATTCATTTTAAGAGACACCATAATTTTAGATTTCCAAATGCTGTTGTGTTTTTTAAATTCCACAAAAATCGGTCAAGTAGATTATTCTTTTTTTCTACTTTTTCTTTAAATATACACGGTAGATATTTTTGATCATCTCACATGATAAATGTTATAGTCCTCTACTCTTTGTATTCGGAGAAGAATGAAAGTACAGCTCTTTGTAAAAGTAGATATCTAATTCTCCATCTCGACGATTATTGATCTTCGATCTGCTTTAGACTATCGCATAACAGTCATTTGATCTTGAAAGACTTGCCACAATGTCGCGTGTCCTATAACGGAATTTTATTTTCATTCATTTTTCATTCACCCCGTTGCTTCCACAAAACCCATTTCGTGACGTTGCACTGGCGTTTCGACACCAATAAGTTACATGCACGGTGCTTTTGCTTTGTTTTTAGAAACTCGAGAGACCACAGTGGGTAGAAACATTAAACCCTTTCGTGATTTTCCTGTTTTAATAATTTCAATTTTGTGCGTATTTCATTTTTTAATGTCTGGCTTCGATTGAGAACAGCACGATGCCTGGACATTATTCTTTATAACCTTTTTTTCATATAATCGTTTCTGATTTATATAAGATATCATAAAGCAAAGAATACGGGGGGTGCGCGTAGGGATAATTGAATAAAACTCAAATCTACATGTAAGTCTTGAATGTAATCTTAAATACAATGTATTGAGGTTGAAAAAAGTGCATCAAGTACTATTAAGATATTCTAGTAAAATGCAGTTTTTCCACCAAAATAATAAAGCTGACTTTGTCAACAAATACAATTTATCATTAAGTCGAATGCTGACTGACGTTTTTCATACTAATTATCAGGTCATTATATACACACTGAATTGTCTACGGATTTTTCTGTTTGCCCGATCATAACAAGCTAGGAGCACATGGAGGGTGTGACCGGTTTACAGGGGATGCTTACTCCTCCAGGGCACCTGATCCACCCTCTGATATTTTTAGATGTTCGTGTTGTTCTGATCCCAATTTTTATTGTTTTAATGAACTTTGAGCTTGAATACTATTCGTTATCTCCATATTTCATTACATGTATTTTTAAATAAACGTATGCCATTGCCGATGTAAAAATAGCAAATTTATGATTCAGGAGAAAGAGTGATCTTTACCATTAAGCATTTTCTGTTTATGGCACGTGGAACAGACTTTCATGAAACATTATCATCAAGAAAGAGTAATGATTACATATGCATTCAACACTAGAAAAGCCTCAGTTTATAAACTATATTATAACTGTTTGAGAAATGTTATCCTTTAAAAACTTTCTATATAAGTATAACTGTAGATCTATTTTCATAATTATAATCAAAAACATTAAATATTCTGCAAAAATCATTGTCCCTTTGTATTTAACTTCAAAAATGATAAAGGAAAATTGTTGTTGCTTTGCTTAATTAAGGTTCCGCTAAAGGCAGTTTGAAATTTTTTTTTTTAACAGTGACCAAGTTTTCTTAATGTTCTAAACGTTGTGGCCTAATAGTTTCACTTCTACAAACAATATTATAAATTGACAAAAAAGTGTTTGTTTAAACAGTTTTCAAGCAAACAGACATATTCTATGTTTAAATTAACAAATTAAAATGCACTTTGCAATAGCAGAATTTTTAGTATTGCGAAATATGACATTAATATCCTTTAGGTATCTTACTCTTAAACAACTAAACTTCAGATAAGGACTGTTTTGTCATAAAATTGTACTTTTACATCATAATGTAGAGTAAAATTCTTGCTTCAAGTGTTTTTCAACCAAAAATATTATCTTTCAATTAAATGAAGCAAGGAATCAATTAATTGCAAAAAGGTCATTTTAGTACTGTGCAGAAATATTTTAGTTTATTATACTTTCATGTTAAATACTAAAATCTGATTGGTTTAGAGACATTTAACAATCCGTATTATTATACTTTCATGTTAAATACTAAAATCTGATTGGTTTAGAGACATTTAACAATCCGTAATATTACCCTCAGCGTTAGCAACACACTTGACAACGGGTAACATTACGAAAATATCACATGCGTTCAAATCATGCGCGTACGGTTCACCGTAGAATTCTCAAAACGTCGGTTGTGCGTTTGAAAGAAGCCGAATAAACGACGTCAATAAAAGCTTGCGTCCGATGTAGCTTACTTGAAAAAGACAAACGACAGACGAAACATCCTTGCGAGTGCAAACTTTAGGTGATAAAGGACTTCTGAGTAGCAAACAAATAATAAAGAGGTTGGTAAATCTTTTTACGAAGCTTTCCTATTGAGAAAAATAGAAGCGGGGAGTTTGAAAGCTTTCTAACCGTGAAGTTAACGACGATCTCCGAATTTTTTAATGACATCCGAAATCAATAAGACATTCAGTATAATAAAATAAATAGTGCACGTTTTTGAGGGTAACAGTTGAAATTGACACCCCAAGGAAAACCATTGTCAACCGACGCGTCAGCGGAGGTTGACAATGGTTTTCCGAGGGGTGTCAATTTCAACTGTTACCCTCAAAAACGTGCACTATTTATATAATGTGTAGGCTTAAATTTCAGATGAGCACTTCTAATACATATGAGACTGTAGAGCATTGTTGATAGCTACAGCAAGTATCTATTGATGTTAACTTATACGTTACAGGAGAAAATTTCAAACTTTGCTACGGTTGAGTTTTAATTTTTCATTTGCTTATTTTTCTGATTCGCCTTTCTTGTTCCTTGGTTGAGGGCACTTATAATTGACTCGTATATACTTTTGGATTATCATATACATTGAAATAAATGGATGGTGGTTGCCTACAAATATACAAAAAGCCAATTGTATCTGTCAAGGCAAGACATCTACCGGTTTCAACATAGTCCGATTTAATACTATAGGAGTTAGTAACAAAGTATTTTTTTAATTTTTTTTTCTCGTATTTCTTTGAGAAGTGTGAATTACTATTTTCGAAAGTTGTTGATGATCAAGACAATTTTGTAAATTATCCTGTAACAATTTACAACTTTAGACTGGAAATCAGTAGAAGACCAAAGTATCATGTCCTTGTTTCTTTACAGCTGACAGTATTGAACATCATGTTAAAACAATTACTCAACTGAACCTCAGATTGAGACCAGTTTTGTCTTGCCTTCCATATTTAATATGGCCTCATTCAATCCATAGAGCTATGATTTTTGACAATTTAAGTTGCACTGCAGGAGAATCTTGCATATTTGATAACTCGTGCCTTTGTAATTATCCTCAGAATGCTTTAAGCTTTCCCCTATATTTCATTATGTTAAATTTTGATACATTTGTTACCCATTTTTTGCCATAATGACTACTGATTACTGATTAAACAGTATTCAATATTCATTACACAAGTCGCACGGTATAATTTGTAAGAAGGGGACCTGGAAAACAATTGTTCAAAGCATAGTCAAGGATACTAGTATAGGATGGCCTATATAGAACATCAAATTTTTACTTGTGAATATTTAAGGGTAAAGCATTAAAAATCTTTTTCTCGAGAGTTGTAGAGCCATGATTAGTCATATCAATATACAATGAAAAAGCATCTTCAGGTAGTGCAGATTCAAGTTTGTTCAAATCATTATCCCCGGGGGTAGGGTGCAGCCATAATAAGGGATCAAAGTAATACAAGTACATGAGGATATAGGGGAAAATCTTATCAATCTCGAAGAACACAACAATAGTCATTGCAAGCATCATCAAGTAGTGCAGATATCATAGCAGGGACAGGGTCTTAATAAGAAATCAAAGTTTTACCTTGGAATAAATGGCAAAAACTTTTTTTTCAAGAAAAGCAGGATAATTGCTCTTGAGGTCTCGTCCCTGCTCTTGGATCATGTTTGAAACAATAGTGAATAAAAACTACAAGACGATGCTTTTTCCGTATTTTGTGACCCCACATAGGTTATTGGGACTGTAGTTTTAAAAGAGATTAATATGCACTAAATGAGAATGTTTGCATATTAATTTTACAATTTTCATCATTGTATATTCAATAGAAAACATTTTAAAAGGGCTTCCTTTCCTATTTCTATATATGTCAGACTTTTCACCTCATTTGCGATTCCATTCGGGCCATGAAGGCCACTGTACAATAAAAAACTAAATCTACTCTAAGTGGGAATGCTTGCGTAGAAAATTGACATTTGTAGCCTTGTAGTTCATTAGGAGAATATTCTTTTTTAGCTTTTTTAAAATATATTTCAATGCAAGTCTTTGGAACCCTGATGTAGTCCCATATTTTTTTCTTGTTTACCCATACTATATTTTAATTTCTGTGACTTGAACTTGACAAGAATTCGTGTCCATCTTAGTTGAAATCTAGTCTGTACTTTAACCCTTATAGGGTGACAAAAGGTAGACAATTTTATCTAAGACAAGAATTTTAAATGGTGTTAATTGCAACCATTTACACTGTAAGGAGTTTAAAGAAGGTCGAAATGTCTCATTTATACATGTATCTCAGTCTGTTTAAAATTAAACCATGTGACCTTAACTTTTATTTCATTCAGACTAGTCCTTTGATGTTACAAAGTCTATTCTTACGCTAAATCCAATGTTACATAATCAGTATTGAACACTTAACTGTCCCTAACTATGTTATAATCATTATTCTTATAAATCAAGTTTATTTTTTTGTTAATTGATGTAGTCTTAAATATATAAAATTGAGTATACATGTAGATCAAAGCCTAGAATTAAAAAAGTACGAAGATAATTATTCTCATTTTAGAAAATTGACTCATATCAAGCTAACGAAAAGGAAAACCCGAAAAATCACACCCATATCTAATTAAATTACTAATAAGCTTTTAATTAAGAGATTCTTACCTGAGTTATAAAACTACACCTCTATAAATGTTCTAATACTTTTAGACAATATATATTTAATGAGAGTATGTAAAGTATTCAAATTCGTTACAAGGTAAAAGTGTGTTTCGGCCAATTGTAGATAGTTTGTATCAAATTTCAGTTTACTTTTAAATTTGGTTAATTTCTTTTATTTCAACATGAAAAGAACTAACATTTCTATTGAGTAAATCTGTACTGAACTTTAGCCCTCATGTAAGACGAAAGAAAAGATTCTAAATTTCTCTTTTACGATAAAGAAAGAAAATTTTAAAGTGTTAATTGCTTTTATTTGCATTAAAAGACGTTTAGCTAAATTTGCTGATGTACATCTCTATAGGAATCATAAGAGGAAGGTAAAATTTCCAGTTTTTCATTCAATTTTTTTTATATTCTCCTTTGATGTTTAACAACTTGATTTTCGACAAAATCGTTTTTCAAGTTTGAGCACTTTAATGAGCTTTTAACAGTTTAAAAAATTGTCCCTGCACAGCTAATCCATAAAATTTGATAATTTTAAGCATATACAATAAAACAAAATCAGCAAATTTATATTTTTACATATACGTTTTAAGTACATATCAATTTTGAGTTTCCTGTACTTTGCAGGTACTTTTCACCTTTATCTCCGATATCATGGGCATGTGGAAATGTTTCGGCATATGTGACATGTTATGAAATGATATGTAATGTTTTTAGAAATATTAAAAAGGTGAAATATAAGACACTTTCGTCAAAAAGTATTCTTTTACATGAAAAAAAATTAATCAATCAAAAGTGGTGATTTAGCTTTGGTGACTTTAAATCAACTCGATTTAAAGTCTAAGGTAAGCAACTCCTTCGTCTTTTTAAACCAATTCTGTTTAATTTTTCTAGTCATATTATTCTAGCTCTTTATGTGTTAAAAAGATGTATTGCACTTACATACGTATACTATAGGACTAGAACAAAGATTTTATTTGTGACAAAACTAATGAGAGTACAGAACAGAAAACTACAATGTTCAAGATAAAGGGAAATTACGAACATTCATAAACATCAACATTTCTCTTTTTATAGTAAAATGTATTTATTTAAATGTTTGTAATAATTTCAGTGAGAATTTTCATGTTTCTGAATAAGATTTCTATGACATTGTTATTTATAGTCGTTCATAATTACACATTAAGGTATTCCAGTCATATAAAATATTCTGCTACAATTAAATTCTTTGTGACGTACATTTTTACTTTAATCCAGAAATAGACAAGAATAGATATGGGTTACCCCATATCCAAGATATTCGACTTTTAATTTATTCGAATTTTCATTGTGCTCAGATGATTTCTAATTAAAAAAAAACAACAACAAGTATTTACTGACAAAACGTCAGAGATACTCAAGCTGTAGAAAGTCAACTATAAAAGTGCCATAAATATCCTAAAATTACATAATGTTTAGGCTACTGAGTTTCAGCATCTTTTGTTGAATAAAATATGCATTTACTAGGAAACAAACTGCGTGTACATATAAAACGTTACATGCATGTAGTGACTTTATAGCAAAGTTGCACATGCCTAAAAAATAGTTTTAATTTTACATAGAACATAGATTAAATATAATTAATTGTATAATTTTAAAAATGTATTTAACACCTCACTCATTTTGAGGAATATTTAATCCAAATAGCATGTTACAGGCCTGTAGTGACGTTTTCAAAGTAAAGGGGGGGGGGGGTCCGAAAAAACCCCGCGTACTATGGGCCTGTGCTACATGTGTACCATCTAGCTTTCCAATGATAGAATCTTCTGTAAAAAAAAAAAATTCAAAACAAGTCCACACCGTTATGGATTATCAAAGATAGGCTAGCCTAATTTTTTAAAATAGCAAATCTATAGATCTATTAAGGATAGATTTTAATTAATTATTTTATTTTGTGCTATTAAAGTGCTATAACTCAAAGTAAAGGCAGATTTTAAAGATGGTTCAACCTGTCACCTTTTAGAGTAATCAATGAACTCGTTCCAGAGATGCATGGACGGCCGTTGTAAAATAAACGCAAAGGAAAGCGCGAGATCGGTTGCGGCTGTGGAGCATCACTGAATATTCCATCGTCATAGAATAAAATCCGACATTTTAACACTTAATATAGATTTTGAATATACAGACGTTTTGAAGATAAACTTTATTTTTGTTTCTAGAAATGTTTTTATTTACAAAAATAGTATATTTTCGTGTTTTTAAACTGAGTAGGTCGATGACCTAGCATCGTTTTAGATAATTAAGCCCCTCTAGCCCAGTCTCATGGTCTAGGGCTTGAGTAAGAAACCTGCACTTGTTCTGAAACTGGTGTATAATTCTAAACTTCTTCATGTCCGTAGCAAATACTGATATCCAGTCTATCTAAGCGTCACTAGGGAACGGTGCACACCTGTGCTTGCAAGACCAAATAGCCTAGGTCTACACACGTGCGAAGATCCTTTCCGACTATTTCGTATGAGTTATTTAAAAAAAGACAAAAAAATACACAGTTAATGACTGACATTCTAACTCAAAAGAAAATATACGGCAACCAACAACAATAATCATGACAGTAATATAATAGGTGAAAAGATTTATCATTATCAATCGAAGTATGACCTATATATTTTCTTGAAAAAGACTGAGGAGGCAGCGAGCGTAGGAATATGAACACTTTTTATTTGCTTTTCTGGGGAAAAAGTGATTTTCTTCAAATCTTTTTACGTTAATTTTGTTTTCTTTAACGTATTAAATATACATCATTATTCTCAACATTTGTTGTAATGTTGTATCTACTGATCATGAATAGAACTATTTTCTTCGGAGCAATTGTGTGAAGAGTACCTGACTTTAGTAATATATCTTGAATAGATAATATGCACTGATCGAATATATTAATAAATAAGGTAAAGACAGAAATAACGTACCTCTTCGTTACCATGACGGCACATCCGGTCGCGAGTGTTGTTCAGAAGTTTGAGAATATCGTCTGCGGACAGTTTGGCTCGTTCGCGCCAAATCTGTCCGGAGACGTCTGAAGCCAGGCCAGTTTGATTGTCTGCCTACAAGAGATATGTAAAGTCTATAATGTCATTAATCGACCCAAAATACGCTCTCAAACGTTTAACGAGTAGGCACAAACCTGACACGAAATCAACCCGAAATAACTGTCGCTTGATTAGCAAAATCAATTACCTTTATGTTTACAGATTTTATTCCTCTCCACTTGTATTATTATTTAGGTAAACATAAAAATGCAGCTACCCGTGTAATTGATCGGCCCCAATTAATAAAAGAATTACTTTACTTTATTATTTTAGTTATCTGATTCCTCTCAAATATTGTGTTCACTTATTGAGCACAGCGGAATACTATGGATGCAAAGGGAAGCAATAAATTGGTTTTTTAAAAAAACGTACTGAATTTATGGCCGGTGTAATGGTCTTTTTAAGCTTTCGTTCGTCCAATGACATGCTTTTTCTCATAACTGGCGTTGTAACCGGGGAATTCAAGTCTGTATCAGATTGGTTTCCTATTGTAGCATCACTGTCAGAGTCGGCTTGGCAATCTTTATGAGGACTCTTTGGCGGTTTGGCATGACAGGGTTTTGACTTCGTTCCCGGAGTTGATCTCGAAAAAGAAGAAACCGAGTCTGCTTTGATCGCTTTCCCGGATTCTGAGACTGGGGTTTTCTTCCTTTTAGGGTTCATGGCAACGTCTTTTCGTGTTGCAGCTGCAGACTTATTCCGGATCTTTCGTTCTTCCTCAGCTTTGCTTGTTAAACATCGTTCATTGTCTCGTACGTGCTACAATTATACAAACACAGAGTTAACATGTAAAAGAAGATATACCTCTGCACAGTAAACTGTAAAGATAGAAGCATTCTTTTCCACTCTTAAATATCAAATTTTGCTTGATCACACCTGTAATTGTTCAATTGTCCGCAAATGATCTCCAAGCAGGTAAATGATGTCCTCTCGAGTAACACGATTTCCCTTCTCTGCTAGTTTTCTGGCAAGTTGTTTTTCAGATGTTTGCAAAATCTTTTAGGAGAAAGACGGTTCAAATTCAGTGCTTATATTAGTTTTTTTTCCCAAAATGAAAAATAATAATTACGCGTTCAAAGTATTTCTTACTAAAGCATTCATGCTTTACATGAAAATGACATTACAGAAAACGAAGCCTCGTTCTTTAAGCAAAACTCACGTGCTCGTCGGAGGGCCTTAATTGAATTTGAACACTCCACTCCTCTTCTCCACCAGAGTTAGGGTCAGCCTGCAAAAGAATCCCCAGTTGTTAACCCAAAACCATTGCTTCTAAAGAGACCCATGTATCCTCTAAAAAAATTCTGGGGTAAATTTGAAAGTTGAGATTTGCCAGTAGATATCTTAATCCCAAAGAGGATTTATTCGTTCGGAGTGCTTCGGGATTTGTTTGCATTTTCAACACGTAAAATCTGGAGGATCTAAAAAGGCATTGGCAATCAATGGATTTTAATTGTTACCAAAATTAATCGTTTGATCGCTGTGTTCTCTTTAATATTACACATGTATTAACTATTACAACATTTAAAGAATATTTCTTTAAGATGCCGAAAACCAAATCTGGTTTTATGTGGATTAATAATACGGATATAATTATTCATGTTATTGATATAATTAGAATTGCAAATTTAGCAAAACCGAGGAATACAAATTTATAAGAATAAAAAGAAAATACATGTCTCGTATTGATACAAGTCGAAGAAATATTTTTTTGTGTCTGAAACTGTATATATAAAAGTTTTAAAATGGTATTTTGTAACTGGGGATTTACTGCGAGTAATACATTAAATGTCTTGCAAGCGTAAAATTACCATGATCCGAACTTTGAAAATGGTATGGCATATTATCATCATTCTTAATTATAATCAATATCGATAAGCGTGATACAGTATAGGATGAACAATCTGAAATTTGAACATCCTTTTGAGATAGTAAGTAGAAACCTGATACACATAAATAGATCTCAGATAATTTTAAAATGAGAACTCTAAATTATTGTTTTTGAACTTTTACTGCATTACTTTATTACCTGACCAAAGGAACATTAAATTCAAAAGTTCATATATAAAATATAAAAGTCACTATAATGAACATAAGGTAATTATCCGAGTGAATAGCAATATAGTTTACATGTATGACGAAAAATACGTACCGTGACCTCTAGTCGTGGGGTGACGTCACTAGTAATGCACGTGAAAACAAACTCCACCAACTGATAACGTAGGTTTCTCATGACGTTTTGATATTCACTCTGGGTCAGTCTACCTTGAGCATGGCGTTCTTGCAAGGCATCTAGGAAGGCCGTAACTAGGTCATCCATCCGCTGACAACGACAGAAAACAAGCATTATTAACGCCACATACAGAGTTCTAAGTGTTCAAATGTGTGACTCCGAATTGGAGCTTTCAGGATCGATTCTAATCAAAAATACAACGGTATGCCTAATGTAGGTTGATTTTTAGTGTGAGACAAAGCGAAATCAAAGAGCTAAAATATTAAAGTAGGCTAGTCTGGCTAAAACAATCCGATATTTGATTGACTGTTCGAAAAGTGTTTTCTGGAAGTGTGATGCATGTCGGCTGCTTCTATGGGCGGGAAATTAATTCCCTGTCGAATGATCGCTGTCTAGACCTTCCAAACGATCATACTGAACATAAATATATAATGTTTATAACTATACCTTTTTCCCTTTTGTTTTTATATTTCAAAGGCTACAATTCTAATTACAGAAATCTACGCGAACTCTTGCAGAGAGTTAAATACACTTCTTTCAAATTAATTATTTGCTTTAGTTGTGAACACTTTACACATGCACCTAATGACACAGAGCTCACAACAAAAGTCTGAGATACAGGTAAGGATTTCCAATACACAGAAAAGGTTTTCTCGCCACTGCACTAATCGCCCTACCGCTGAATTATTCAAATCTATCATCCTATGAGAGTTTTTTTCTATATGATACATTTTGATCCTTCTCTGGTAATATGGGGATATTGACGGTATATTACGTCTTCTTAACAAGCGATATTCACAGGAAAAAATAGTCTTATTTGTTATATCAATATCTATGTCTAGTCGACGTGAATTTGCAAGGGATGACAAAAACTTTTTAGATTCTGCGGTTATACTGAGTAGATTCAATGCAGTATAATTCATATTATGTCAATATCTTGAATGGTACTGTTTGCTCGGCTATCAATTCAAATATCAATAGCTTTGTAAACTTACATTAAGGATAATACGTTGCTTTGATTATTGTATAGCCTTGTAGAATATTTCTATCTTTTTGAACTACATCATCAAAATTATCAAGATATCATTTTTTACATTACATGATTATTCTAGCTTGTGTTAGGATGTTTGAATACTATAGAACCTAGATGTAACTCAAAAGTACATACTCAGGTAACTACCAATATGTAGCTAGCTGGTCTGGAAAATTTGAGATGGATTACATAAAGTTACAGATCCATTCATTGAAAAACAGATTATTTGCCCGATCATGACAGGGAGTACACGACGGGTTTGACCGGTCGACAGGGGATCTTCACTCTTCCATGGCACCTGATCCCAACTCTGATGTTTTTAGTGGTCCCTAATTGCTCTGGTCCCAATTTGTGTTGTTCCAATGGACTTTTGAGTTTAATTACTGTTCATTATCTTCATATTTCCTTATATTAATTGCGCACAAAAAATGTCCACGTCCCTCGATTTATTACTCTGGTATTTTAAATTGACAACTCGAAATATTTACATTGTATATCTATTTTTTAAAGTGTGTCGAAAGCTTCGGTATTCATAAATGGGGAGGTCAAAGGTAAAAGTCATGATTTTGTTTTTAATTTTGACATCATAAACATTGGAGGCCGTACATAACGTCATAATTGTCATTTATAAACGAAAACGAAACTCAAAATCTACGTTCATATTATATTCAAAGAAGAGAATTTTATCAAGCTACCATGAAATCAATGAATGTTAATATAAGCGTTGACTTGTAAATTTTGGACGTTGATCGTGCCATGATGGTTGTGCAGACAAATTTTGATAATGCACCAAAGTGCGTTACTCAATTTGTCAGCACACTTCTACATTATGACATGATGAACGTCCAAAATTTAGATTTCAATGCTTAAATATTACTAACCGTATGTACGTAACATATTCTTTTTCTACTTCCACAATAAGACATTCCCTATAAGTGTTGTCAATAGTCCTCCTGGGCCTGAAATTGTGACCACTTCGATATACTGCCATTTTGAGTGGCAAAATTCGATCCATTATTGTTTCATAAGTGAGCATTGAAGAAGATTTCTAGGACGTTAATTTTTTTTCAAATAAAAACATTTACATTTTAACTAGCTAACCTAACTTCAATTAAAATTTATCATAAGGAAAATATTTTTTGCCGCTAACATAGAAATTTGGACTTATTGGCGACATGTACTCGGTAGGTGCAAAAGTTCCGTCAATATGATTTGAAATGTTCAGATACTTTAAAAAGGAAATAAATATGAACATCTGGTATAAACATTTAAGACGTCCTAAGATGTCTTACAACTTCAGAGGTGAAAAATATAATACAGACATTAAACAATATTTGGACAACGTGGAATGTATGTACATGTCGTCCACGAAGCACATTGGACCAAATTGTCTTGCCAACCAAAATGGCAGTACAAATAGTCTAAAATTTCGATGGTTTTAATTTCAGGCCCAGGAGCGCTATTAACAACGGTTGTACGAAATGTTTTGTTTGGAAGTAGTGAAAAAATATGTTAATAACACACATATATCAATATTTTGTGTTGACGGCTTAAATACTAGTACAGGGAGGAAAAAATCGAGAAAAATGTGCATTATTTTTTTAATGGATGGATATGTAGCTCTCTGATCGTTCATCTTCATTTTTGAGAGCATTGAGCTATAGATCTGCAGCTAACTTCATGGGTAATTCAAGTAGTTACATTTACATGTAGGTTCTAGAAGATGTGAATTGTATATAGTATTCAAATATCTTAACATGGTTCAGCTAGTACAATCATGAAATCTCATTAATAATATCTTTATATTAATGCTGATGTAATAAAAAGTTAGTGCTCAGGTAGTTTCCCGTTGATGTTTAAAGAGAATAAATGAATCATTGACGGAAGACATATTGGATTGTTTCTGTAGGTCCATAATTAATAGAAATGAGTTTTTTTTCCAAAAAGAAACATTAAGTTCTGTGATCTTTGTGTACATTTTTTACAAAAACAAGAATTCGTTAAAAGCGACCTCCATGTCGGGGTTCAATAAAGTTTGTTATGCTTGCCAGCTTCACTTCAAAGATGTCCTCGGTCTAGTTACTTCAATCAATGACGACATCTATCCGAATTATTAAAGTGTACATATGTCAACTCGCTTTACATCTCAGACTATCCTCAAGCATATGAATAATTAAATCCGCGACATATTAATGATGTTATCGGCCGCAGAAGCAACCGATGTGTTAGAATGTGCACATTGGAAAATGAGACAATATTTTTTCAATGGTTCGATGGAATAAGTCCTTATTAATAACATACATAAACATGGGTAATCAGAGTTTACAGAGCTCACCCCCAACGAATGTTTTCTTTAAGTAAGGCAAAGACCGACATTCAACCAATAATCTAGTAGTGTGAACCCTAGATGCAGTATTTATGCAATTTTTGTCTGATAAGGCTTGCAGTTACTTAGGAATGGACTTATCTTAAAACTTTATACTAGTCACTCATCTAGAAATTGTAAGTCAAATCCAGCATCTGAAGCAAGTTTGAGAGTGTTCGTCCCTTAATGCATCATTCGTGCAAGTTTGGTTCAGATAGGCCTTATAGTTTCTAAACAAAATTGGACCTGCTCAACTGGTCAACAGAGGACTTACATTTACTTGGAAATGAGATCTGATCCAAAAAAATTTTAACCTGGTCACTCATTTGGGAAATATAGGTCAGATCCAGCATCCGATGCAAGCCCAGTAGTGCGCATCCTTAGGTTATCATCCATGCAAGTTTGGTCAATATAGGGTTTATAGTTACTTGGAAATGAGATCTGCTCCAAAAACTTTAACGTGGTCACTCAACTGGAATATGTATGTCAAATTCAACATCTGAAGCAAGTCCAGTAGTGTGTATCCTCAGATGTATCACCCATGCAAGTTTGTTCAATAAAGGGCTTATAGTTACTTGGAAATGAGATCTGCTCCAAAACCATAACCTGGTCAATCTTCCGGAAAATGTAGGTCAGATCCATGCAGCATCCGAAGCAAGTCCCGTAGTTTATATCCTTAGATGCATCATCCGTGCAAGTTTGGTCAACATAGGACTTACATTTACTGGAAATGAGATCTGCTCCAAAATCATTTACCTGGTCACTCATCCGGAATATGTAGGTCAGATCCAGCATCCGATGCAAGTCCAGTAGTGTGCATGCTTAGATTCATCATCCATGCAAGTTTGGTTAACATGGGACTTATAGTTACTTAGAAATGAGATCTGCTCCCAAAACTTTAACGTGGTCACTCATCAACAAAATGTAGGTCAAATCCTGCATACGAAGCAAGCCTGATAGTGTGCATCCTTATAGGTGTATCATTCATGCAAGTTTAGGCAACATAGGGCGTATATAGTTACTTGGAAATGAAACCTGCTCCAAAAACTTTAACCTGCTCCAAAAACATTAACCTGCTCCGAAAACATTAACCTGGTCATTTTTTAGCTGAAATTGCAGCATCTGAAACCTTGACTGGTACAATGAAACACACTAGAAGCATCTTCCATGCATCTCTGATTTATATAGGGCATTGAGGTACATGTACTTGAAAAGAAATCTGCTCCAAAAACTTTAACCTGGGACGCCGACGCTTATGCCGAGGGTATTATATAAGCTCCCCCAACTTCGTTCAGGTGAGCTAAAAATTACAAATGACAAGTTTATAATTTGCTAAATACTGAGTCTAAATGGTTGTAATGTTTCAATTCATTTTTCATTTCTCATCAGATATTTAATTATTTATGATTTTATAAAAAGTTGTTACATTAACTGCTCCCTAAACATGGGAATGTGTAAGATCTAAGCGCAAAATGTAATGAGTTTCCTGATATTAATTACAAAATGATAAATAAATATTTAAGTTACATAATGAGTCAAAATCACGTGTTTCTTTTAAGATATCTGTATCATAAAGCGAAAGATTTATGAAAATTATGAGTATAGCGAAGATATGACATTTAAACTGCATTGTAAAGCAAGAAAACTCTGCACAATATAAGTGCCAGAAAAACAAAGGATGTATCTACCGTT